GAACGAATCACAGCTCATGAAATACTCACCTGAACGGCAGAGATCTGTGTTTAAAGTAATTTATTATACATTTCTGTGCATTGAACTCAGAATTAAAACAAAATAAACGTATTATTCGTAGCCATTGTTGCTTCCACAGCCGCTGCCAACGTCACTCAAGCTTTGTCATTTACACAACTGGTTTTGGGGAGGAAAAAAAAACATGTATGGATAAAATGATTACCCTGACAGTAAGACATGTCTCTTCTATCAAAAACTAATGTTCCAAGTTGTGAGCCTTTGCTGTGGTAGCGATGAAGTAGTCGTAGTTTAAGTTCGTAGGCTCATCACTCATGGATCTACATCTCTGTGGGACATTAATCCAAATCATCCATGTTGTTCCTCCTTCGTTGTTGAACACTCATGTAATGTCACAATTTGCCGTCTTCCTGCTTGAAAAAAAAATGACAATAGTAAAGGGGCGGGACTTCAGTCAGCTGTCAGTCACTCAGGGAGGCAGTCATGCAGGTGGCTCCGACTACCTGTTCCTCTCAAATGTAATTAATGTGTACAAGGCGCCGCTAATTGCACTTTTCATTAATGATTTATGGGTTTGGGAGCAGGGAGGGGCGCCGAACACATGATGGATGAGAGCGGAGCCACTGTCACTGTGACGAGACGAGCGGCTGCCGAGATTACGTGCTCTGCGTGGTCATTGTGTCTGTTAATCACTGAATAAATCTGTATGTGCAGGCCTATTGTTCCCAACACCGGGGCCTAAACATTATCGCCATTACTTAAAGGAGATATCAAGACTATTGGTCCTCCTAACTGTCAATCATTCTGGTGATACGTGCTCGTCCAATAAGAGCGGAGAGATTGGTTCAAGAAGTGGGGGAGGACATTTTGAAAAATCCTGAGTTAGTAAGTTGTCGACTATATCTATCGTATCTAACAATGGGCGGCACAGCGGTAGGTCCTGGGTTTGATTCCACCTCCAGGCCGTTCTGTGTGGAGTTTGCATGTTCTCCCCGAGTCAGCGTAGGTTTTCTCTGGGTGCTCCGGTTTCCCCTACCACTAGAAACATGCACAATAGGTCTGAATGTAATGAGAACGGATGGTGTTGTTGGAGGCTTTGATAAGATACGGCACCAGTTTATTGATGGACTTTTTACGCCATGTTGTTCAGTGCTCCCCGAGGGGGGCGTGACTGTTTACATCCGAGGCCCCTCGGCCCCCACTACCACCTTCCTCCTCCACTCCAGCACCGGGTGAGTACTGTGGTGCAAACACTGACCCCTGTCCGTCTGGCAGTGTAATACCAGTCCTGCCACTGAACGGCACTTACTCAGTCATGCATCTGGAACTTAACAAAGTAAAACAGAGTTCACTTTTTAAACCAATAGAGACTGTGTGTGTTCCTCGCACCAGCTCAGAAATGTGTTTTAATTTGAATAAACACAAATATAACAGAAGGACAGCAGTTAGACGGTCCAACTCAGGAAATCTAATTCCAATTCTTTGTAGTCAATCAACTAAACCCACTGACACTGATATTATTTTTAACCTTGCTCTGCTTAATGTCAGATCACTATGCAATAAATCCTTTTTAATTAATAATTTTATCTGTTCTTATGATCTTGACTTTATGTTTATGACTGAAACTTGGCTTGACCATAATACAGAAAATGCAGTCTTAATAGAAACAACACCACCAAATTTCAAATTTGAATCAGAAATTCGAGAAAATAAAAGAGGAGGAGGCACAGCAGCAGTTTTTAAAGATTGTATTGTCTCCCATAGAGTACCTCTTGGGAAATTTTCCTCATTTGAGTATGTCTCTTTTAAAATAGAACAAAAACAATCTTCTATTCTTATTATTGTTGTGTACAAGCCGCCACAGTCATGTCATAGTTTCACTGATCATTTCACCGAGTTGCTTTCAGTTGTGTGCACAGACTTTGATAGTTTAGTCGTCATAGGTGATTTTAATATACATGTAGATAACGTTGATGATAGATACGCGAAAGAGCTGAGCTCTGTGCTGGAGACCTTTGGTCTCACTCAGCATGTGAGTGGCCCCACCCATAGCAGAGGACACACTCTCGATCTGCTAATTACTAAAGGGGTTAATATCTCAAATGTAAATGTGGCCAATGTTGCTCTGTCAGATCATTTCTGTGTATTTTTTGATATGTGTCTCAATAGTAAAGCACGAGCTGAATCCTCAATTGTTAGAAGAAGAAGACACATAAACAAAAATACAGGTGAACTTTTCATGGGGATGATAAACTTTGATAACACGTTGTGTTCTACTGTGGATGAATTACTTAACTCTGTCACCTCTAGTGTTTTGGATGTTCTGGACACGATTGCTCCTGTAAAGGTCAAAATTGTTACAAATAAGCAAAAGGCGCCATGGACAAAAGCGGACTCTGTCAGGGCACAGAAGAGAGAGTGCCGGAGAGCCGAGCGGAAGTGGCGAAAGTCAAATCTCCAAGTTGACCATGAGATCTTCAAAGATGCATTGTGCAAGTTCAACAGTGTGCTACGTAGAACGAGGGAAACTTATTTTTCCGAAACAATCGAAGGTTGCAGTAACAATCTACGCGTTCTGTTCTCAACAGTAAATAAATTGACAAATCCCCCTGTTAAGATGCCATCAGAGCTTACCTCCAAAACCAAATGTAATGAGTTTGCAGAGTTTTTTAATGACAAAGTCCAAGGCATCAAAAATGCCATCACCTCCACAGTAGAAATTACAATCCAACAGCCAGTGAAGCTTTTTGGGCTGACACACTTTACACCAGTACAAAATGAAACTGTCCAAATGATGATTACAAGTCTGAGTTCTTCTACATGTAGCCTGGATGTATTACCTCCTAGATTTCTTAAATCTGTTCTGAGCAGTCTTTTACCTTCACTCACGCATATAGTAAATATGTCTCTTGAATCTGGAACATTCCCAATGGCCCTGAAAACGGCAGTCATCAGACCCCTCCTAAAAAAGAGGAGTCTGGATGCCTTGGCACTTAAAAATTATCGGCCCATTTCAAATCTGCCTTTCATGGGTAAAATTCTAGAAAAAGTTGTCTATCAACAACTTACAGAATTTTTAATAATCAATCACTCTTTTGATATGTTCCAGTCTGGTTTTAGACCCCACCACAGCACAGAGACCGCTCTAGTGAAGGTAACAAATGACATCAGACTTAACACTGACGCAGGAAAAGTCTCAGTTCTTATCCTGTTAGATTTAAGTGCTGCTTTCGACACTGTCGATCATGGTATCCTCATTCAGAGACTTGAGGACTGGGTTGGTGTTTCTGGAACAGCCCTAAGCTGGTTTATATCCTACCTACAGGACAGAAAGTATTTTGTGGAGATCGGAAACTGTATCTCAGACCATCTGGCCCTAACCTGCGGAGTGCCACAGGGATCAATCCTGGGGCCTCTCCTGTTTAATATTTACATGCTGCCTCTGGGTAGGTTAATACACAGTAATAACGTGTCCTATCACAATTATGCTGACGATACTCAGGTCTATGTGTCCCTGACAGCAGGAGAACATGGACCAGTGGACTCGCTCCTTCACTGTATCCAACAAATCAGTGATTGGATGCAAAATAACTTTCTCCAGCTAAACACAGAAAAAACTGAAATTATTGTTTTCGGACCCCAAAAACAAAGAGAGAGCGTTATCTGCCACCTCCAGTCTCTCTCCCTAAAACCCTCAACTCAGGTCAGAAATCTAGGAGTAATAATGGACTCAGACTTAAATTTCAATAGCCACATATCATCTGTGACATCATCAGCTTACTTCCACCTAAGAAACATTGCTAAAATTAGGAACATTGTGTCTAAAGCAGACCTGGAGATTCTTATCCACGCATTTGTCTCCAGTCGATTGGACTACTGCAATGGCTTGTTCACAGGTCTCTCTAAACAAGCGGTAAAACAGCTGCAGTACATCCAAAATGCTGCAGCTCGAGTCCTGACTAGAACCAGGAAGTACGACCACATTAGTCCGGTCCTCAGGTCTCTGCACTGGCTTCCTGTGGCTCAGAGAATAGATTTTAAAGTAGCTTTACTTGTGTACAAGTCTCTCCATGGCCTCGCACCAGGGTACATCCGCGACATGTTGGTGCCATATGAACCAACTCGGGCTCTGAGGAGCACAGGGACTGGACTTCTGTTAGTGCCAAGAGTCGGAACTAGACATGGGGAGGCTGCGTTTCAGATTCATGCAGCTAGAGTCTGGAACCGTCTTCCCGAGAGTGTGAGACAGGCGTCTACTCTAGCAGTTTTTAAAACTGAACTGAAAACAGTTCTTTTTAGCTGTGCATACAAGTGAATGATTTTATATTTGTTTTTATCTTTAATCTTTTTAATGCGCTATGATTATTTATGATTATTTATGATTGTAATCCCTTGTGTGATTTTAATGTTTTACGGTTTTTAACTACTTGTGTGATTTTATATATCTTGTGCTCTTAATCTGTCTTTTTATGTTTACTTAAATTCTAATGTTTGATGATTTATGCATGATGTTATATGGGTTGTGAGGCGCTTTGCGTTGCCTTGTGTAGGAAAGGCGCTCTATAAATAAACGTTGATTGATTGATTGAAGATTAGATAAACTTTATTGTTGGACTTTGATTGGTCGACTTGTTCGCACTAATCGTCCCGTTGCCAATAGTCTAGACTCAGAGAACGGTAAACTTCCGCCATCGGTGAAATCAAACAAAATTGTGGTTTCAAGATATTTGTCTGGAATGAACCGACTAGGGACATTCCAGGTGTTTGTGCATGTGCTTTTAATTGTGAACGCTTTTCGTTTGGGTGAGGGTCTTTTCCCGACTGGGGGCCGGGAAGACTCATTCTCACTTCAGTGGTCAGGACGATCCACACCAAAGAAACTCATGAATCAATCAATCATCAGTGTTTATATAATGTAGAAATGCAAGGGTCGAGCAGTGTGTTCTGAACAGGTTTAAATCTGTTTGTTTTGTGTTTTGCAGCTTTTAAAATACGACAAAGAGATGTCTGTGTTCAAGGACCAGCTGTCAGAACTGGAGATCTCATTCCCTCCCACGTAAGGACTTTATTCTCTATAACATTTAGAAAAAGCATTTAAGGTCATGTCTATCTGTATACACACATTTCTGTTGATTTTCCCAATTGTGATATTATTTTAAAGATGCTATACCTAATTTATTTTCTATTGAGTTCATACAAATGCTTGTTACTACACACTCTGTTTCAAAGAAGGCACAGAAAAGCTTGGATATGAACTTTATCACATAGATCTGACATTTAAACTGCTTCTTAAAGTGCTCTGTCCAAACCGGCTTCATGCTAGCTGGTGCTTGGCCTGAACCTCTCCCCGGAGCCTCTCTCCGGCGGCGGGACACATTGATATTCCTCGCTGGGACGTCTTTTGGGAACTGTCCTCCTCGTTGCTCAAACAAATGCATTTACAATTAGCCCTTTTTCAGACGGCCGCGGTTGGCAAACACCGGCCCCGATCGGAAATATAATTCTCGGCGCGGCAATAATAGCACTTGACCTTTGGCGCCGGCTGTGACTCAATCAGCGCAGATAATGAAAGGCTGTAATCAAACAATAATTGCTTGATAAACTGCAGCGGTGGTGGACGGGCAGCGCCAGGACGGAGGAGGCGCCGCCAAAAAGAACAGATTTAAGCTTTGTTTTAGGAGTTTAGGAAGTTTCATCTTTAATAACTCAAGCTTTTGTCTTGTCTTCTTGGTCTATACTTATACTTGGCTTAGGCTTCGGTCTACTCTACTTTTTTCATACCAAATCTCACAGAAGAATGATTAAAAACATGAAAAACTACGGAACTAAAAGATAGCACCAGCTCTAATAATGGATTGGTTTTATATAATGGTTTTTGGACACTCAGAGGCGCTTCACGTGCCTTTTATCATTCTCTCCAGACACGGTGGTAATAAACTACTTGCCACAGCTGCCCTGGGGCACACTGACAGAAGCGAGGCAACCAGTCTGTGCCATAAGCCCCTCCCACCACCACCAACCATTCACACACACACCAGACTCATTCTAATGTGGGGGAAGTGTCAGATTCAGTTTATTTGCCATTTGCAGTAAAAAAAAAAACACATTGGAATACATTAGCAAAAGTCTCCAGTGTGCACAGACAAGTACAGACATAAAACAACAATAAAAGACAGAAATAAAACAAATAAAACAGTAAACAAATGTCACTGTGAAATGGATCGACTAAAACAGTTTCAAAACAAGTGCAAATCATTAAAGTGCTCTGTTCACACTGATAACAGCCTGTGGATAAAAACTGTTAGCGTAACGAGATGTCCTGCATCTCAGAGAGCGATATCTTCTGCCAGAGGGAAGAAGCTGGAACATGGCTTTCCTAAGGACACAACCACAGTTTGGCACCTTACAGCCGCAGCCGCCCCACTGTGGCACCTGGTCTCCCATCACAGCACTAACCAGGCCCTGCCCTGTCCTTCAGAGGTCTGACATGATCTGGCTATCACCTGCAGGGGGCGCCACTGTGAATATGTGTTTACAGCGTTACTGCATTTCTGTGTTCGAACTGTTTGATTCTCTTTAGATTCAGATTCAGACACATTTTTATCCCACGGCGGCAATCCATGTGAACAGCATCAGGCATAAAAAACATAAACCACAAGAAATTTGATCTGTTTTTGAGTACGTTTTGAGAAAGTCCTCAAAGACGAACTGTTCTAATTTGTGGACGGCACGGTGGCTGAGTGGTTAGCACTCCCGCTCAGAACAGGGCTGAGTGGCGTTTGCATGTTCTACCTGAGTTTGCGTCAGTTTCCTCCAGGTGCTCCGGGTCTTTCCCCTACAGTACCTCTAAAAACATGTACAATAGGTCTGTGCCTCCTGTACTGGCCCCTCCCATCTCTGTGTGAGAGACAAGTGCCAAAAACTAACAATTGTAAACCGCTTTGACTCTGGTCTGTGAAAGGCGCTATATAAATAATTAACTATTAATAAACATTACTTACTCACTCACTTAAATTTACGGCTCTACAAAAACATGTTTAATGAATTGAATATTTGTTGTAATTTGAAGTACAGTCGTTAGAACTGGACCGACCAAACTGAGGTCCAAAAGCCTGAGGTCCTGGTCTTCACTGGGTCCAAACGTCAGCGTTTCGTTTTGTTTGATTCCTCGCCGTCTGAAGCCGCTCTGACACATCGGCCACGGTCTCGCCACAGTCTCGCCGCAGTCTCGCCGCAGTCTCGCCACAGTCTCGCCACAGTCTCGCCACAGTTTCGCGATCAGGCGTCCCGATGGAGGAATGATTCAGTGTCGTGCGGCGAGAGGCCATAAATCCACTGCGTCTGTCACTTATGCAAAGTCATGTAAATGTGGCTCATGATGAAGACACACGGCCGTTTATAACACCGGAGACGGCGGCGGCTCGGCCTCGCCACACGTGCACACGCCCAGGATCACAGCCACACGTGCACACGCCCAGGATCACAGCCACACGTGCACACGCCCAGGATCACAGCCACACGTGCACAACCCCAGGATCACAGCCACACGTGCACACGCCCAGGATCACAGCCACACGTGCACACGCCCAGGATCACAGCCACACGTGCACACGCCCAGGATCACAGCCACACGTGCACAACCCCAGGATCACAGCCACACGTGCACACGCCCAGGATCACAGCCACACGTGCACACGCCCAGGATCACAGCCACACGTGCACACGCCCAGGATCACAGCCACACGTGCACAACCCCAGGATCACAGCCACACGTGCACACGCCCAGGATCACAGCCACACGTGCACAACCCCAGGATCACAGCCACACGTGCACAACCCCAGGATCACAGCCACACGTGCACAACCCCAGGATCACAGCCACACGTGCACACGCCCAGGATCACAGCCACACGTGCACACGCCCAGGATCACAGCCACACGTGCACAACCCCAGGATCACAGCCACACGTGCACACGCCCAGGATCACAGCCACACGTGCACACACCCAGGATCACAGCCACACGTGCACACACCCAGGATCACAGCCACACGTGCACAACCCCAGGATCACAGCCACACGTGCACAACCCCAGGATCACAGCCACACGTGCACAACCCCAGGATCACAGCCACACGTGCACACGCCCAGGATCACAGCCACACGTGCACAACCCCAGGATCACAGCCACACGTGCACAACCCCAGGATCACAGCCACACGTGCACACGCCCAAGATCACAGCCACACGTGCACACGCCCAGGATCACAGCCACACGTGCACAACCCCAGGATCACAGCCACACGTGCACACGCCCAGGATCACAGCCACACGTGCACACGCCCAGGATCACAGCCACACGTGCACAACCCCAGGATCACAGCCACACGTGCACACGCCCAGGATCACAGCCACACGTGCACAACCCCAGGATCACAGCCACACGTGCACAATCCCAGGATCACAGCCACACGTGCACAACCCCAGGATCACAGCCACACGTGCACACGCCCAGGATCACAGCCACACGTGCACACGCCCAGGATCACAGCCACACGTGCACACGCCCAGGATCACAGCCACACGTGCACAATCCCAGGATCACAGCCACACGTGCACACACCCAGGATCACAGCCACACGTGCACACACCCAGGATCACAGCCACACGTGCACAACCCCAGGATCACAGCCACACGTGCACACACCCAGGATCACAGCCACACGTGCACACACCTAGGATCACAGCCACACGTGCACAACCCCAGGATCACAGCCACACGTGCACAACCCCAGGATCACAGCCACACGTGCACAACCCCAGGATCACAGCCACACGTGCACACGCCCAGGATCACAGCCACACGTGCACAACCCCAGGATCACAGCCACACGTGCACACGCCCAGGATCACAGCCACACGTGCACAACCCCAGGATCACAGCCACACGTGCACACGCCCAGGATCACAGCCACACGTGCACAACCCCAGGATCACAGCCACACGTGCACACGCCCAGGATCACAGCCACACGTGCACACGCCCAGGATCACAGCCACACGTGCACAACCCCAGGATCACAGCCACACGTGCACACGCCCAGGATCACAGCCACACGTGCACAACCCCAGGATCACAGCCACACGTGCACACGCCCAGGATCACAGCCACACGTGCACACGCCCAGGATCACAGCCACACGTGCACAACCCCAGGATCACAGCCACACGTGCACACGCCCAGGATCACAGCCACACGTGCACACGCCCAGGATCACAGCCACACGTGCACAACCCCAGGATCACAGCCACACGTGCACACGCCCAGGATCACAGCCACACGTGCACACGCCCAGGATCACAGCCACACGTGCACAACCCCAGGATCACAGCCACACGTGCACAACCCCAGGATCACAGCCACACGTGCACACGCCCAAGATCACAGCCACACGTGCACAACCCCAGGATCACAGCCACACGTGCACACGCCCAGGATCACAGCCACACGTGCACACACCCAGGATCACAGCCACACGTGCACAACCCCAGGATCACAGCCACACGTGCACACGCCCAGGATCACAGCCACACGTGCACACGCCCAGGATCACAGCCACACGTGCACAACCCCAGGATCACAGCCACACGTGCACACGCCCAGGATCACAGCCACACGTGCACACGCCCAGGATCACAGCCACACGTGCACAACCCCAGGATCACAGCCACACGTGCACACGCCCAGGATCACAGCCACACGTGCACACGCCCAGGATCACAGCCACACGTGCACAACCCCAGGATCACAGCCACACGTGCACAACCCCAGGATCACAGCCACACGTGCACACGCCCAAGATCACAGCCACACGTGCACAACCCCAGGATCACAGCCACACGTGCACACGCCCAGGATCACAGCCACACGTGCACACGCCCAGGATCACAGCCACACGTGCACAACCCCAGGATCACAGCCACACGTGCACACGCCCAGGATCACAGCCACACGTGCACACGCCCAGGATCACAGCCACACGTGCACACGCCCAGGATCACAGCCACACGTGCACAACCCCAGGATCACAGCCACACGTGCACACGCCCAGGATCACAGCCACACGTGCACACGCCCAGGATCACAGCCACACGTGCACACGCCCAGATCACAGCCACACGTGCACAACCCCAGGATCACAGCCACACGTGCACACGCCCAGGATCACAGCCACACGTGCACAATCCCAGGATCACAGCCACACGTGCACAACCCCAGGATCACAGCCACACGTGCACACGCCCAGGATCACAGCCACACGTGCACACGCCCAGGATCACAGCCACACGTGCACAACCCCAGGATCACAGCCACACGTGCACACGCCCAGGATCACAGCCACACGTGCACAATCCCAGGATCACAGCCACACGTGCACAATCCCAGGATCACAGCCACACCAAGAAGAGACCAAGAAGAGCCGGAGCTAGAGTCACAAAAGGAGGAGCAGAGAATCCAACATCATCTCAGATTCACATTGAGACAAATATAACTCAAAACAAGCTAAAAAGAACAAGAAATAATTGTCGCAGTGAAATCAATCAACACAAATTCTTCCAGTACAAGTGTGAGATCATTGGGGCTTTGTTCATTCTGAAAACAGCTTGTGGAAATAAGCTGTTTGAATATTGGAATGTCCTGCATCTCAGAACAATTTCTTCTGCCAGGAGGAAGAAGCTGGAACATGGCTTTTCCAGAAGAATGAACTGAGGAGTAAGTCCGAGACTTACTTTGGTAGAATTGTTCCACACACGACACACCAGGTCCCTGCCCAGATCTTTCTCCTGAAGCTAAATTTAACATTTCAGAGTGGACCTTCTACATGTTATGAATATTGTTTTATATTATAATGAAAAGTAATTGGAAAACATTAGATTCTGTTGTAGCGAGTCACAACAAGTAAACTTTGCCTCTATCCTCATGCTACTCTAAACATACAGCTGTCACTGTTTTTGTTATCGTGAGACTTGAGTTTTCTAATCTTCTTCACCTAACGGTTAGGTGTCAAAGTCAAGGCCCGGGGGCCAGATCCGGTCCTCGAGACGATTTCCAGTGGCCCTTGAGATTATTTTAAATGATTTGTGTTCAAATGTTTGCATGGTTTGGCCCCTCAGTATCTGACTGATCTGCTTGTGCCCCACACTCCGTCACGGGCTCTAAGATCAGCAGACCAGGCTCTCTTAGTGGTCCCTAAGACCAGAAGTGGAGAGGGGCTCGGGCTTTTGCAGCAGCAGCTCCCAGACTGTGGAATGGCCTCTGCACATTAGACTGACGGACTCACTTCCTGTTTTTAAGTCGCTTCTTAAGACTCATGTTTTTACTTTGGCTTTTAACTCAGTGAGTTGACTTTCTGTGCAGTTTGTATTCTTGTATATGTTTCTATATTATATTGTGTTTTTACTTGTGTTCAGCACTTTGGTCAACTGTGTTGTTTTTAAAGTGCTCTATAAATAAAGTTATTATTATTATTATTGATTATATTAAATAGCTGCATTGATGGTAATAGGCAACAATGACATGTTCTCCATCACGAAGAAAACAACCAAAACATTTAATTCCATAAGAAATAAAGGATTTCCCAATTTTCTTATGAAAGAACCGCCCTCTCCACTTTCTGAACCAAACTCTCTGGTCTTATTTGACGAGCACCAGAATGATTGACAGTTGGGAGGACCAATAGTTTTGATGATCCACCCAAAAGTAGAAAATCCTCCTATATACTTTCCAGTTTTGGTCCAGTCCACGGGAACTGAATTAATTCTAATCAGAAAAGAATATCCAATCTAACTCATGTGAAACAAGTCATTTCTTTATAAACCTTCATAATAATAATACAAAAATTAAACCCACTTATTTTTTCGGCCCCAGATCAGCCCTTTCTTTTTTTTTCTTTGGCCCTCAACCAAAATAAGTTTGACCCCCCTGACCTAACCCATACCTAAGCAACTGGGTACAAGACAGTTTAGTAGATTTTCCCGCCGAGAACGTTCAGTTGCTGTGATTTCTGTGAGAAACCGTTGGTGTTTTGGTCGATACAAACCCTGCAGCCTCTGCTCATGTCTGCGGCCGCGACACTCTTCCCTCTCCACATTGTCTGTCTTTTTTAATGGCTGATGTTACGCTAGTTAAACTTAAACAACCCCCTCTGCTCCCCGCCCCAAACAGAGCCATGCATATAGAGCCGCCCGGCCCCCTGTCAGCCCTGGCCCCGCACGATTGTCCCCCATCACGGCCCCTGACCATCTGTGAGCTTATTACTGGCTTTGGCACAGCCCGGCAGAGCGCGCACACTCTGGCCCCGATCTATAAATCAATACCAGTCACAAACATTTAATCTGAAAGTTAATTCTGCCGCGGCGGGTGATGGATAAGGAGGTGTCGCCGGGAGGGACAGCCGTCGTGGGCGAAGTCGGGTTTTAGCGTGTCGTGGACAAAAGGGTAAAGTGGAGGTGATTTACGTCTCTGGTTCAGTGTGTGAGTTTTATGGTGAGGTTTACTCTTCTCTCTCATCAAAATACTCTACTGTGGGATGTGTTAGACCAAAAGCAGTACATTGTGTTGATTGCCACAAAAGTAGAGACAGTTTTGGTGACCGGATTGGATTAACAGTCAATCAAACTGGAAAGAAACAGCCTTTTGGGTCGATTTATGACTCTGAAAGTTGATTGGCTATGCAAGAGTGGAGGGTCTTATTCCTTCTTTTCTTTTCCGTCTTAAAAGCTGAGATAAGCTGTGACAGTCTGACGATAAGTACAAAACTTAGGAGTCTGATCGGTCTGAATTGGTTCGGTTTAGAGAGATAGACATAGATATAGACAGACATGAATAGTTATAGTTATAGATGGATAGATCTAGAAAATCCAGGTGTCCATCAGAAGAAACACACCCATAGATAGATAGATACTTTATTGACCCCCGTAGGAGAAATTCATGTGTCCACTAGTTTTACACTGCTCTGGTCTGGACCAGTGTAAAACCATGAACCCTCTCTGCTCTGGTCTGGACCAGTGTAAAACCATGAATCCTCTCTGCTCTGGTCTGGACCAGTGTAAAACCATGAATCCTCTCTGCTCTGGTCTGGACCAGTGTAAAACCATGAATCCTCTCTGCTCTGGTCTGGACCAGTGTAAAACCATGAATCCTCTCTGCTCTGGTCTGGACTAGTGTAAAACCATGAATCCTCTCTGCTCTGGTCTGGACCAGTGTAAAACCATGAATCCTCTCTGCTCTGGTCTGGACCAGTGTAAAACCATGAATCCTCTCTGCTCTGGTCTGGACCAGTGTAAAACCATGAATCCTCTCTGCTCTGGTCTGGACCAGTGTAAAACCATGAATCCTCTCTGCTCTGGTCTGGACCAGTGTAAAACCATGAACACTACTGCACCAACATCTTAGGTAAAATTAAAAAGCTAGACGGCACGGTGGCTGAGTGGTTAGCACTTTCGCCTCTCAAGAAGGTCCTGGGTTCGAATCCCGGTCGGACCAGGGCCTTTTTGAGTGGATTTTGCATGTTCTCCCCGTGTCTGCGTAGGTTTCCTCCGGGTACTCCGGTTTCCCCCACCACTAAAAATATGCTCACTAGGTAAAATCCTCCAGCTCTGGTCCTGACCAAGCCGAGCATCAACACCTGGAGAGGGGTTCCCGGGCGCTGTACTGCAGCGACCACTGCTCCTGACGTAAGCCTTAGTGGCATCAGGATGGGTCAAATGCAGAGATATAGACAGACATGAATATTGTCCTACGGGGACAATAAAGTGCACATTTACATTTACATTAATTTAGAAGAGGCACTCAGGACCTGCTGCTGTTTTCCAGAACATTAAAACGTTCAGACTTACAGCACTTTTTTGTTGTCGTCTGAATAAAATACAATAATAATGGAATAAACAAACAATATTATGCAGAGCTACATTCTGGATGGCGAATGGGCCAATGAGAGCGCGGCAGCCGGCTGGCACCAGGGCGACTGTGGCGGGAGGCGGCTACATTCCTCATGTGGGTGCGCAGGCCTCAGACGTGTCATGGAGCAGAGTGACGGACAGCGCTTTGAAGGAACAGGAACACGACTCTCACTGCGGCTCCGGCGTTTCACAGAATACAGAAGAAACCGCCGCGGAGCAAACGTTAGAATGTGTTTTCTTCGTTAGAAACACATCCCCTCCTTTGCCCTGAGCCTTTACCTGCTTCTATCTATCTGGGAGTCTGCACTTTTACTACAGGGTGTTCTTCGGTTTCGTGACGTCAGGGCAGGGGAGGATAACAAACATGGGACAGGACTCAGTCAGTCAGGTTTTTACACGGAGATATAGATATAGATGTCAAAATGCCATCTTCTTGTGCTATCCATCTACCAATCTACCGATCTATCTATCTATCCATCTACCTGTCTGTCTGTCTGTCTATCCATCTACCTGTCTGTCTGTCTGTCTATCCATCTACCTGTCTGTCTGTCTGTCTATCCATCTACCTGTCTGTCTGTCTGTCTATCCATCTACCTGTCTGTCTGTCTGTCTATCCATCTACCTGTCTGTCTGTCTGTCTATCCATCTACCTGTCTGTCTGTCTGTCTATCCATCTACCTGTCTGTCTGTCTGTCTATCCATCTACCTGTCTGTCTGTCTGTCTATCCATCTACCTGTCTGTCTGTCTGTCTATCCATCTACCTGTCTGTCTGTCTGTCTATCCATCTACCTGCCTGTCTATCTGTCTCTCTACCTATCTGTCTCTCTGCCTGTCTGTCTCTCTGTCTCTCTCTATCTATCCAAGAGAAATTTAAAAACACAAATCAAGATGCATAAAAAGTTCATGAAACATAGAATTATTTCATATCAAAACAAAGCAGCGTAAAGTGTGGGTTAAAAAGGAGATAAAATCAGTAAATAGTACAAATAAAATCGGTTGCATTCACAGATAAAAAATATGTTTTCTACAAATACAAAAGCAAACATTTTAAGGTCTGACTTTGCTAAACTAAACTTTTTCATGTGTGGACAAAATTATATTTGTGAGTGACCGCAGCTTTAATGAAACCAGTCGTTTGGACTTTAGACACATCTGCTGCTGTCGCCTTCTTTTATATATATACTGTATACAGTATAGATACAAACCGTATACAGCTTATATACAAACCGTGTACGGCTGACATGGAGATGGAACGGAGCAGCGGCACTAAACACGAGACCAGCGTTTTCAACAGAAACGTTGGTGTTTTTGCCCAGACACAGTTTTTTCCTTATGTTTAATGTAACTGTCTCTATCCCTCCTCCCGCCATCATCCCACTGAAATAATAGTTTTATCCTGGATTAGTCTTGTTTGGATCGTATATTTGCAATGGCATAAGCACAGTAATGCGGGCTCAAACCTACTAAAACATCTGGTCTGTTATTCATGTATTGTGATTGATTCAGACTGAGGCTTTTAGTACTGCTCTGATCTCATTTCTTCAGCCGTTTTTACCTAAGATCGATGCAAAAATTGAATCGTGGCGCGGGCAGCGGCGGAAGAATGCGTTCTGTCGTAACCTGGTTATGGAGCAGCGAGCGAGCGGCGGTCGGAGTGACAGTGCAGCGCCCAGACAAGTGCATCAATTGTGATTTACCGGATTTTCAAAGCAAGATATGAGCTACGGGAGCTGAGCAGGGCCAAACCACGGGGAGTTTTAACCCGAGAATCTCTAGAATTCTGATACTGATAGAACTGTCAGAGCAGTCGTTTTCACGGCTCACTTTCGAATCAATTAAATTCTGAAAAAATCTTACAATAAATACTTTACTTGTGTTTAAATTAGGATATTTTACCTTTAAAATGTGTTGAAACTGGAAAACATAACATGAAAAACAGCAAAAATAAAGAACTGAAAGGTCACTCAGTCCAAGACCCGTCCAAGACCCGTCCAAGATCAGTCCAAGACCAGTCCAAGACCAGTCCAAGACCAGTCCAAGACCAGTCCAAGACCAGTCCAAGACCCGTCCAAGAAGAGTCCAGTCCCTGTGACGGGGACAATGGTGGGAGCTATGAGGCGGTGAGGTCAGCTGTGGAAAGGCTGTGGCCGTGCTCATATGAAGGAGTCCTGTTGTTCTCTGCACCAAGTACCGAGCCTCCAACCGCAGCATGTGACCCAATCCACTGATGACTCCATAAGACTAGCCTGGTCTTACCACACCATAGTACAAATTCCATTTGGTACTCATCTGGAGGTGCTCCATTGACTCCGTTAACAGGTGGGAGGGGTTAACTCCTTTTGCAGATTGAAACCATTGGATCTGAGTTTACCGTGACGTATGTAATGAGCCCGAGTCATTAGCATTTAGCCTAGCTTTAGCATCTCCTTTGCCGCTACCAGAGCCCGTGGGGATTAGTGCCATAATCTTTGCCAGCAATTACATTTTCTGACATCTATGGGTATAGTCAGTTCTCCATAACTCGGTTGGTTAAAAGATGTTTTCTACTTCTGCTTGGATCCTCAAGACTATTGGTTCTCCCTAATCGTCAATCATTCTGGTGATACGTGATAGGACCAGAGAGTTTTTTATAAAAGTGGAGAGGGCGGTTCTTTCCTAAACTATGGGAAAATCCTCCGATATACCTTTAATCTACTCCGTCTCTTGCTCGCTCTTTCACAGCCACATCTTGTGCTCTCTCTGACTGAGCTGTTGTTCCAGTCCATTACATCACCTCTTTAAAACCACTCCAGCCTGTGCTCTTCTTCCTATTGTCCAGTTTAAGCGTGCTATTGTCTTTATACTGTATCCACTGCTCTGGCATGAGCTGCTCCATTGTCTCCTCCACATTACTGCACGGTGTGAAGTGACCAGGCCCACGGTGCACAGGCCGACGGGGGCAATACGCCTGTTGGATCCCGCACTCTCAGGGTGTGAGTGGGAATCCTCTGTGTTCGAGTGGATATACAGACACACTTGTTAAAGGAGCTATTCCCGTTTCTGTAAGGTCTGAATGTTTAGCCCCGCCCCCAATTCGCTCACAGGCTTCTCATTTCCCCTACGCTCTCATTCCACGGAGTCATCTAGTTTTATTTGCGATCTGATGCTAACATTAGCATTAGCACAACTTAAGCTGTACAACAATCACTGACGAAATGGTACAAAAGCAACGCACTGCTAACAACATATATAACTGAAAGATTACAAGCGTAGATAGTCCGAGCGTAGATAGTCCGAGCGTAGATAGTCCGAGCGTAGATAGTCCGAGCGTAGATAGTCCGAGCGTAGATAGTCCGAGCGTAGATAGTCCGAGCGTAGATAGTCCGAGCGCAGATAGTCCGAGCGTAGATAGTCCGAGCGCAGATAGTCCGAGCGCAGATAGTCCGAGCGCAGATAGTCCGAGCGCAGATAGTCCGAGCGCAGATAGTCCGAGCGTAGATAGTCCGAGCGTAGATAGTCCGAGCGTAGATAGTCCAAGCGCAGATAGTCCGAGCGCAGATAGTCCGAGCGCAGATAGTCCGAGCGCAGATAGTCCGAGCGTAGATAGTCCGAGCGTAGATAGTCAAAGCGCAGATAGTCCGAGCGTAGATAGTCCGAGCGTAGATAGTCCGAGCGTAGATAGTCCGAGCGTAGATAGTCCAAGCGCAGATAGTCCGAGCGTAGATAGTCCAAGCGCAGATAGTCCAAGCGCAGATAGTCCGAGCGCAGATAGTCCGAGCGCAGATAGTCCGAGCGTAGATAGTCCGAGCGTAGATAGTCAAAGCGCAGATAGTCCGAGCGTAGATAGTCCAAGCGCAGATAGTCCGAGCGTAGATAGTCCGAGCGTAGATAGTCCGAGGCGGTCCCGCAGGTCTCTCCCATAGACCAGTCTCTCCAGAGGATACGATGTAAGCTAGCTCTGTTCAGGGCTTGGTTTCTTCTTTGATCATGTTGTGGCTTTAGTTCCTCTTCTCTTCCTCACTGTTGTGTGGTTCGGGCTGTTTTGCTGTGTCTGCAGTTACAGCCAACCGGAGAAACCGGAGCACCTGGAGGAAGCCTGCACAGGCACAGGGAGAACATGCAAACTCTTCTCAGAAAACCCCTTTTCCGACCGGGATTTATGTTCTTCCTTCTGAGACACGTTCGCCGTTGTGACCTACGAAGGCCACTTGTATAGCTGTCTAATTCCCATACAATGTATAATAAAGTGGTTTAGTTTTGAGCTCTCGACCTCCAGCGTTGAAGTCGACACATGAGGGGACTAGAAGCAGGGGTTTGTGAGATGAACCAAAACCTCTGCTAACCCTAACCCTGCAGAGAGACCACAAAATGCCAACAAAATCGTTGGGAATTACATGAAAACAAAGTAGAAAGATACAAAAAGCCCATTTAGCACCACCCCCCTCCCCTTTAAACCAGTGGCATTTGTCTGAGCGGCCGCTGGTGTGAGCTGGGGTTTACTCTGCTCTGGGCCGGAGCAAACATTCATGTTATTGATGGCTTTTGGCTCAAACGTGTAGACATGTTGTTTTACAGGCCTCCCCGGACAACTGCAGATTAACAAGAAGAAATGGGAAAATAGCCGGTTTTTGAGGGGCCCTTACAAAGAACTGAACCATTTTCTTTGGGTGAAACATCAGAAGAAAACGGCCAATCTTGCTTGGTACCAATTTGGGTTTTATCACGAGCCTTCACGTGCGCGTACATGTGTTTGGATTCTGTCCCATGTTTAGACCAGCTTTAGTGTTGAAAATCAGGTCGGACTGAGGCGACTTCAGAAGCACACATGGACAAGGGCCTTTTAATCCAATCTGTTCTTTCAGAGTTCGCTCAGAGCTCCCCCAGCCGGTACAGAGTCATGTTGAGCCGGTACCGAGTCATGTTGAGCCGGTCCCGAGTCATGTTGAGCCGGTACCGAGTCATGTTGAGCCGGTACCGAGTCATGTTGAGCCGGTCCCGAGTCATGTTGAGCCGGTCCCGAGTCATGTTGAGCCAGTCCCGAGTCATGTTGAGCCGGTCCCGAGTCATGTTGAGCCGGTCCCGAGTCATGTTGAGCCGGTACCGAGTCATGTTGAGCCGGTCCCGAGTCATCTTGAGCCGGTACCGAGTCATGTTGAGCCGGTCCCGAGTCATCTTGAGCCGGTCCCAAGTCATGTTGAGCCGGTACCGAGTCATGTTGAGCCGGTACCGAGTCATGTTGAGCCAGTCCCGAGTCATGTTGAGCCGGTACCGAGTCATGTTGAGCCAGTCCCAAGTCATGTTGAGCCGGTCCCGAGTCATGTTGAGCCGGTACCGAGTCATGTTGAGCCGGTCCCGAGTCATGTTGAGCCGGTCCCGAGTCATGTTGAGCCGGTACCGAGTCATGTTGAGCCAGTCCCGAGTCATGTTGAGCCGGTCCCAAGTCATGTTGAGCCGGTACCGAGTCATGTTGAGCCGGTCCCGAGTCATGTTGAGCCGGTACCGAGTCATGTTGAGCCGGTACTGAGTCATGTTGAGCCAGTCCCGAGTCATGTTGAGCCGGTACCGAGTCATGTTGAGCCGGTCCCGAGTCATGTTGAGCCGGTACCGAGTCATGTTGAGCCGGTACCGAGTCATGTTGAGCCAGTCCCGAGTCATGTTGAGCCGGTACCGAGTCATGTTGAGCCAGTCCCGAGTCATGTTGAGCCGGTACCGAGTCATGTTGAGCCGGTCCCGAGTCATGTTGAGCCGGTATCGAGTCATGTTGAGCCGGTACCGAGTCATGTTGAGCCGGTACCGAGTCATGTTGAGCCGGTATCGAGTCATGTTGAGCCGGTACCAGTCATGTTGAGCCGGTACCGAGTCATGTTGAGCCGGTACCGAGTCATGTTGAGGCTGTACCGAGTCATTTTCAGTTGATACAGAGTCGTTTTCAGTCGACACACAGTAATTTTCAGACGGTACCGAGTCATTTCAAGCCGGTACCGAGTCATTTCAAGCCGGTACCGAGTCATCTTTAGCCGGTACCGAGTCATTTTCAGCCGGTACCGAGTCGTCTTAAGTCTGTACAGATTGCCAATCAGCTCTGAGCCCCAGTGACTCACAGGGCTCTATACAAATGATACAATTTTAATACGACGGAAATGTTCGATCCAATTCAATGTTTTTTTGTGGAGACCTAAATTACAAAAGCAATCGTCTCGGGGGACGGCTTGTTGATTCAAGAAGAACAGATTAGAGAATCAAGCACAGGAAAAGCAATAATAACAAACACATCTGAGCCATTTTCCCAAAGGAAGCGGGAGGACTAAAATTAAATCAATAAATGTGCATCCATTGGTTAGCACTCTCGCTTCTCAGCAAGAAGGTCCTGGGTTTGAATCCCGGCCGGAACAGGGCCTTTCTGAGTAGAGTTCACATGTACTCCCTGTGTCTGTGTAGGTTTCCTCCGGGTGCTCCGGTTTCCCCTACCACTAAAAACATGCACAATAGATCTGAATGTAAATGAGAGAGTGAATGGATGGTGTTGGGTCGGAGGTTTTGATGGTCCAGTGTGTTCTGGACTCACTTCTGTCATCACCGTGTGTGGAAGGATCGGAACAATATCTGACTCTGAACATTGGAAAGTGCTTTGGGTCTGTACCTTGGTCTGTAACATGCGCTATATAACTAAACATTACTTACTTACTTAGACCCTAATTTGCAAGTTGTCTAAATTCTCAAAATGGTACTTTTAGACGTCTCGGTTGGTACACAGAAAACATACTATTTAAAGCTGCACTAACTGACTTTGGGATTTTGAAGCCGCGGACTCGCTGGCCTCGCTCTTTCTGCTCCCCTCCCCGCACCCACGAAGCTATCGCCCCCCGCACCCACGAAGCTATTGCCCCCCGCACCCACGAAGCTATTGCCCCCCGCACCCACGAAGCTATCGCCCCCCGCACCCACGAAGCTATTGCCCCCCGCACCCACGAAGCTATCGCCCCCCGCACCCACGAAGCTATTGCCCCCCGCACCCACGAAGCTATCGCCCCCCGCACCCACGAAGCTATCGCCCCCCGCACCCACGAAGCTATCGCCCCCCGCACCCACGAAGCTATCGCCCCCCGCACCCACGAAGCTATCGCCCCCCGCACCCACGAAGCTATCGCCCCCCGCACCCACGAAGCTATCGCCCCCCGCACCCACGAAGCTATCGGCCCCGCACCCACGAAGCTATCGCCCCCCGCACCCACGAAGCTATCGCCCCCCCACCCACGAAGCTATCGCCCCCCGCACCCACGAAGCTATCGCCCCCCGCACACACCCACTGTTGTTCACGGAGCTAGCGTCTCCCAATATGGATAAACCATGGATATGGATTTGCACGTGGATGCCGTGACCATAGAACGATAGAACCGGGAAGCGCGGAGGAACGAGACTTTCTTTTGGATGGCTGTCTCGCTGTGTAAGCAGTACCCGGTGACGAAGACACGAAGCTTCAGGTTAGCTCCTCGGCTTGTTGTGCTAACTCAGCTGTCTGTGCTAACGGACCTGTAGATTTCTCACGAAAGTGGGGGCTAGTGGTCCGCTGTGATTGGTCACAATCTGAGACCCGAAACACATTCTCTTCCTTGTTTCATCAAAACTCGATCTAAAATATAATGTCACGCCAGCACAAATCTGCGCTAATTATTCTTCAAAAGGACGTATATCCCAATGCACTACATGGACATGGATAGCATTTTTGTAATGAATACGAAAATAAAGTCAGTTAGTGCAGCTTTAAGGCAAAGTTGGGTTCTTCCAGTTTTAAAGGTCCCTGAGGCAAAAGCAACGCTAACCTCGCGTCATCTTGCGAGTAGCTAATTGTGATGTCACCTGTACATAACAACACACTGCCTTTCACAATTCCACAACATGCTATTGTTTTGTGTGGGTTGTAATTGAGTCGTAGGCAGTAAATTTCAGCCCATCCCAGTCTGAGCGTCCTCCCGATATTGGCCCTTATCAGTGCTTCCTGCCCGGCCTGTGTCCAGCTCCTGCTCTACGGCCTTTGTCTCAGACTGAAGTAGATGCTGTCACTGCGGTGTCACTGCGGTGTCACTGCGGTGTCACTGCGGTGTGAAAAAGCAGGTGACTCAGATTTAGTGTTTCCGAGAATCTGGGACGAGGAAGTCTGGACCCAGCCGCCCACGTCACGCTCAGCTTTTGTTGTGAAATATTTGCTGAGAGGCGACATGGTCCATTCTTTGTGCGATAGTGACGTGTCTGATTGAAGTTCAGAAAGGTAAAAAGCCACTATAGAAGTTAAAACATTATGAGAAAAGAGATTTGGATTTTATGGAAGGAATGAATAGATTTTCCATAATTTTCTGTGTAATATTGTCTCTTTATTATTTATAAGTAAATGCTGCGACTTACACTGGTCTCCCCCAGATCAGGCCCCTCCCCGCCTGGGCCTCAGTCCTCGTTCTACAGCCTGACACCCTTTCTGAGTCCTCCCTCTGGTCGTCCCGCTCCCTATGGACCTATGCTTCTATGTGTTTGTTATTTTTGCATTGACTGTGTTCAAATCTGTTTTTGACAAATCAACAACTTCGTCCGAAACGACTGCTGTTGTAATTCAGGGATTTACAACAATACATTGGTTTGAAAAAATGAATTGTTAATTTGAAAGTGCCAGAAAACGAAAAGGTTCATAATTTTTTCGACATGTTTTGGATGATGTACTTATGCCTTCGTCAGAGGAAGAACACCGCCGAAACAAAAATAACTTTCAAACCCTTAAACATTAGAAGAACATTATACATTTAATACAGTGAAAAAAAACACATTCCAAGTAAGTAGCACTGTCCTGGTCTTATCCATCCGTACTCTCAGGTCCATCATCATGTCCTGCAGGTAACGTCTGGGTCTGGTCCCTGTGTTTGTGATTACAGTCGGTTGAATTCCATCCGACCAATCAGAGAGCGCGGGAGGCGGGTGTTGTAGTTAGATGTGTGTGACGTCAAGAGTTAGCGCTGAACGTGCAGGTTGTAGTTTGGTGAAACATGTGATAGTAAAGTAATCTGTTCTGGTTCTATCAAGAAACTGAAGCCGGAGCAAGAGGAAGGTTTAACAAATGTAATCGCTGCAAAGATTGTGACACTACTCCCCACGGACTCCGTTAGCGGCAAAGGAGATGGCTCTTTTGCTGGTGAGGGACAGGAGGTTCTAGTCAAAGCCACCTCCATCATGAACAACACCTCCCACTGCACAGGACTGCACAGGACTGAGGAGCTCCTTCAGTGGAAGACTTATGGTGCTTTCAGACCGAAAACGCTGAAACGCAGCAGCCCAGCTCACCAGACGCGCATTCTCTAGTTTTCAGACGCAGAGGCTTGCACACTGCCAAACGACGCACGAACACAAGCACGCCCACCTCACTACACTGATACTGAAAAAACTTACCAGGGAGGTTGAGCTGCTGCGCAATGGCCTTCCATGCCGAATCTTTCTTTGCTCTGTCGCTATATTCCGGAATGCAGACTTTCCACAACTCTGGAAAGTTTGTAACAGCAACAATGAGACTATCCACAGCTTGATCCTCCATGTTTAAATGACCGGTTCCTGGCTCACAATGGGGAAAACAAACGCCGTGTAGTGGCGTGATTACGTCAGTGGTGTGCGTGCTCTCTGATTGGTCGCTGCACGAACGTCTCGAGGAAAAGTTGAGCGGAATCCATCTCCTGTGGGCGTTCATTTTCCGCTCCTTCTCCTCCCCTTTGACTTTCCCGCCAAGTCCGTGCGTTTCTACTGGGCGGTCCGTGCGTGTGTGCCGAGAGGTCCGTGCAATGCGACGCTGAAACGCGCCTCCCCATTGACTTTGCATTGAACGCAGACGCAACGACTGTCCCGGTCTGAAAGCACCATGAGGCCCCCGCGGTGTAGGAAGGAGCAGGGCCTTTATCCCCACCGCTGTCAGACTGTACAATAAGTCACTTTAAGTCACTGTATAAGACTGAAAAACCTGCACTAATACTGACACTATTTCTAATTGCCACTTTTAAATTTCCACTTTTTTATGTACATAATATATCCTGTATTTAACATGTTTGCACATTTCCTCCCTTTTTTGCACAATCTGAGTGTTTCTGTCCATGGCAAATGTGACATGGAAATTTCTCCTCCTTGTGAGATAAATAAAGAATATCTTATCTTCAAGCTAGGCTAAATGCTAAAGCTACGCTAAATCCTCCTGTACATCTGTCCTCTCATCTGTCCGTGTACCCGCAGGCCCGGTCCTCCCGCAGGCCCGGTCCTCCCGCAGACCCAGTCCTCCTGCAGGCCCAGTCCTCCTGCAGGCCCAGTCCTCCCGCAGGCCCAGTCCTCCTGCAGGCCCGGTCCTCCCGCAGGCCCGGTCCTCCCGCAGGCCCGGTCCTCCCGCAGGCCCGGTTCTCCTGCAGGCCCAGTCCTCCCGCAGGCCCGGTCCTCCTGCAGGCCCGGTCCTCCTGCAGGCCCGGTCCTCCTGCAGACCCGGTCCTCCCGCAGGCCCGGTCCTCCCGCAGGCCCGGTCCTCCCGCAGGCCCGGTTCTCCTGCAGGCCCAGTCCTCCCGCAGGCCCGGTCCTCCTGCAGGCCCGGTCCTCCTGCAGGCCCGGTCCTCCTGCAGACCCAGTCCTCCTGCAGGCCCAGTCCTCCCGCAGGCCCGGTCCTCCCGCAGGCCCGGTCCTCCCGCAGGCCCGGTCCTCCCGCAGGCCCGGTCCTCCTGCAGGCCCGGTCCTCCCGCAGGCCCGGTCCTCCCGCAGGCCCCGTCCTCCCGCAGGCCCGGTCCTCCTGCAGGCCCGGTCCTCCCGCAGGCCCGGTCCTCCCGCAGGCCCAGTCCTCCTGCAGGCCCGGTCCTCATGCAGGCCCAGTCCTCCTGCAGACCCAGTCCTCCTGCAGGCCCGGTCCTCCTGCAGGCCCGGTCCTCCCGCAGGCCCAGTCCTCCTGCAGGCCCAGTCCTCCCGCAGGCCCAGTCCTCCTGCAGGCCCGGTCCTCCTGCAGACCCAGTCCTCCCGCAGGCCCAGTCCTCCTGCAGACCCAGTCCTCCTGCAGGCCCGGTCCTCCTGCAGGCCCGGTCCTCCTGCAGGCCCAGTCCTCCTGCAGTCCTCCGGGACCCAGTCCTCCCGCAGGCCCAGTCCTCCTGCAGACCCGGTCCTCCCGCAGGCCCAGTCCTCCTGCAGACCCAGTCCTCCTGCAGACCCAGTCCTCCCGCAGGCCCAGTCCTCCTGCAGACCCAGTCCTCCTGCAGGCCCGGTCCTCCCGCAGGCCCAGTCCTCCTGCAGGCCCAGTCCTCCTGCAGACCCAGTCCTCCCGCAGACCCAGTCCTCCTGCAGGCCCGGTCCTCCCGCAGGCCCGGTCCTCCCGCAGGCCCAGTCCTCCTGCAGGCCCGGTCCTCATGCAGGCCCAGTCCTCCTGCAGACCCAGTCCTCCTGCAGGCCCAGTCCTCCTGCAGACCCAGTCCTCCTGCAGGCCCGGTCCTCCTGCAGGCCCAGTCCTCCTGCAGACCCAGTCCTCCTGCAGGCCCAGTCCTCCCGCAGGCCCAGTCCTCCTGCAGGCCCAGTCCTCCTGCAGGCCCGGTCCTCCCGCAGGCCCGGTCCTCCCGCAGGCCCGGTCCTCCCGCAGGCCCGGTCCTCCCGCAGGCCCGGTCCTCCTGCAGGCCCGGTCCTCCCGCAGGCCCGGTCCTCCTGCAGGCCCAGTCCTCCTGCAGGCCCGGTCCTCCTGCAGGCCCGGTCCTCCTGCAGGCCCAGTCCTCCCGCAGACCCAGTCCTCCTGCAGGCCCGGTCCTCCTGCAGGCCCAGTCCTCCCGCAGGCCCAGTCCTCCTGCAGGCCCGGTCCTCCTGCAGGCCCGGTCCTCCTGCAGGCCCAGTCCTCCCGCAGGCCCAGTCCTCCCGCAGGCCCAGTCCTCCTGCAGACCCAGTCCTCCCGCAGGCCCAGTCCTCCTGCAGACCCAGTCCTCCTGCAGGCCCGGTCCTCCCGCAGGCCCAGTCCTCCTGCAGACCCAGTCCTCCTGCAGACCCAGTCCTCCTGCAGAGCTTATCGCCTGCAGACATTAAACACAGTGATTACTCTTATTACTGTCAGAGTTTGTGATATGCTCCGAGCGGCTCGCGGACCACACGCCCTCCGTCATGTTTGCGTCTCTGATAAGTTTGTCCAAAGCTAATCGCACGCATTAATCACCCGAGGCTAACGCGTCACGGCTCTGTTTACTGTGGCATTATGGGCCGTGTTATCTGTGCAGCAGCCAATGGAAGCAGCGGAAACACAAAAAGAAAAGTCTACGGCTCTATGACCTTTTAATGACCAATGCAGACTATTTTAACCACATCGGAAGTGTCTGGAGTGGATTCTGAGGAAGTTTGTTATCGGTTCATTGCTATGGGCTCAAAGTTGATTTTTGACAAGAACAGCCTCATGCTTTATTGGTGAGTGTGGTCACTGTAGAGGCAATTAAAGCTGCCGTACCTTTCAAATGACTAACAACACAGCAAAAAGTGATGAAAAATAAGTTAAAAATTGCTAAAATTGTGGTCACATTTTGCTTTTAAACAAAATTTGCCCATATCTCCCTTGGAATGAGAAAAAAAACGACGGATAAAGAACTATCTAACATTTATCAGACTTATGACTGAATCTGTGCCAGTGCATGAGACATTTAACATGAGTTTATGTGTCAAATAATTGAACTAAAGAAATGAGCCTTGAGCTGATGAATGATAAGTCTTGTGTTTGTCCCAAGTCCAATTCATGAAGACCAGATCAACAAGATAAAATTGTTTTGTGGATAAATGTATTTAAATATAACGGCCCCTCTCTGAAGCCTGACCCTTTGTCCAATAAACACCCTCTTTTATCCAAGTTTAATTTACTCACCAACGTCCTCATGAAGACGTTCCATTTCATTTCAATGACGACATTAAAATGCTGTTTGTGGAGCACGGTTTGATGAAGTTTGTGAGTTCATTGTGAAGAGAACCAAACCTTATTCGGCTTCATCTCTTTAGCACCAAAATGGCCTCCGCTGCTACAGTCAATAAAGCCATAGTGAGTGGATCTGACGAGATCTTTGTCTCAGCGTTTAGTGGTCCGTCCTTCAGGAAGCGGCCGTGTGCTGGACCACCCTGAAGGTTCCAATCCCCTTTGAAGGTTGGCCTCTTTCAGCCTGATCTGTGCCGCTGCCTGTATCCCATCCCATTCTCTGGGCAACCTTTTATCCAGGATCACTCCCTTTAGCTTAGCGATTAGCATACCAAAACAGCCATGCATTTCCCCCACGGTTTAAAGACCATTCATGCTAATTGTAGGCAGGGCGCTTCTCTAAGTCGGCCACGGCGGTCAGTTTGTTCACCTGGTGGGGGGGCACATACAGCACCGTGGCTCTGTGTTCTTATGCGATAGGGTGAATGAAAGATGGCGGGAGTTTGGGGCTTTTTTGCAACACTTAAATTAGTTTTAACTTAATGCCCTGTCGAAGGATGAGAGCTGAGGCAGTGTTAGAAGAGATTAGAGAAAATATGAACCTTTTAATGTCATAGTTGCACACATTACAGCAAGATTATGCACACATCAAGCATGCAGACACACACACACACACAGGGCCCTATCTACACATGTTGAGGCTTGGTCAGGACTAGAGCTGGAGGATTTTACTTTTTCTACATGTTTTTAGTGGTAAGCGAAACCGGAGCACCAGGGTAAAAACTTGTGCAGACACAGGGGGAACATTTAAACTCCACGCCGCTAAATCTGCAAAACAAATCTCCGCATTTTACAAATCAGTCCAATTGTGTTTTGCATTAGCTGTTGAACCTGTAATTAATGACAGACTGAGTAAATATTAAACTCGCATTATATGACATTCAGGGCTAAGGTCAGACATGAAACAGGCCTAATAAAATAGACCTACTTTCATTCATTCCTTATCGCTCATTCCCTACAATAATCCATTTATTAGGAGAAGAAGAAGGTCCTATATTAGTCCCACAATGGAGAAATTTCAGTTTGATGCATACACATACACTTACACACACACACACATACACACACATACACACATACACACACATACACACACATACACAAACACACACACATACACATTCACATACACATACACCTACACACACACACACACATACACATACACACATACACACACATACACAAACACACACACATACACATTCACATACACATACACCTACACACACACACACACATACACACACATACACATCAAGGCAAGCAGCAAACATCACTTCCGTGCTCCTTATAGGCAAAGTGGGTTAAGTGTCTTGCCCAAAGACACAGCGACAGTAGACATCAGTGGAGAAGGTCTTGTGGTGGGCTCAAACCGACGACCTTCAGGCTCAAACTGAGCCACTGTCGCCCCAAAATATACGTTCCCATTCTGGGAGTCGAACCCGGGCCGCCTGGGAGAAAAACAGGAATCCTAACTGCTAGACTTTTGCAGACATGGGGAGAACATGCAAACTCTGCTCAGAAAGGCCCTGCTCTGACTGGGATTCAAATACAAGCCCTTCTTGCTCAGATCTCAGTACAACCACATTTTTGTTTGGAGATCTATACTTTTATGCAGCAGAAATGGCAGATAGCTACTTAAACTGTAGGGCAGGGGTCTCCAACCTTTTCAATCAGAGAGCTACTTTTACAAAAGAGGCAGACCTTTTATTCAGTCGTAATAAAAATGTTATAATTACGACAAAACATAGAGAACACATAAATATACAATAATACTGTAAAACCCTATATTTATACTCAAAATAAATATGTAACTACTCAAAATGTATTCATTTAAGATCATTTGTTAAAATCTAAATCCTTTGCGGAGCTGGCGAGCTACTGGTAGCTCCCGAGCCACAGGTTGGAGACCACTGCTCTAGGGTAATTTTAGCCCTCACTAGCTAATTAAGTGCTAAATAGTGTACCCTAGCTCTAGCCATACTATCCCAGATGTGAAAGTGGCAGTTAGTAGTTACTGTAGATAGATGCTGAATAAGGACTAATAAATGCTCAATAAATAGCAATTAATTGCTAATAATCAGAACTTAATTTGCTGTTAATTACTGAGGGCTAAACTACAGTGTGACCAACTGTAGTCTATGCAATAAGTGCGAAAAATCATGGAAAACACTTGTGTAAAACGGACGAAAACCTGTATTCTTGTGTTTCATGAAGCTGGCCAGTAGGGGGCGCATGAGCAGAGGTGGGACAGTGTTGCTCCCATTGAAAACCATGTGAAGTCTGTTTTGGAGTCAAAGGATCTCCTCCTGTGCGGAGTACGGTTGTTGGAACAGTCTTAATCGAACAAACTCTGGTCTTTCTCTCTCTGTGCAGTTTCTACAAGCGTACACCGCACAAAAAGATGCTTCTTCTTCTACTATATCTCCGTGTATAAACCACTTCTTCTTCTACTATATCTCCGTGTATAAATGAAACCCAAGTATAGTTAGAATAGATCATAATAATTAGTAAAAATCTTGAATCCTGTACCAAATTCCTGAATCCTTTGGGGATCTACCTGAAAAGGCGTGGCTAGCTCTAATCCCCTTTATTCACAAAAACACAATGTTATCTCTTCTGCTTTGGGCAAATAAAAAGTGACCACTCTTTGCTCTCCCCTGATTTATAACCGGCATTAACAAATCTGCTTCTTTCTGTGTTTTAGACCCCATTATGAAACACGGCAAACACAACAGCCATTAACGGATTCCACACGGTTTCTTCTTCTCGTCCTCGTGATGAATTATAATTATCCATTATCTCCCGTGGGCCGTGTCGGTTCCACCACACTTAGCCCCGGCCTCACTGAACGAGTAAATTGGATTGTTTTACAGTGTGTAAGCCTGATGTTACGGCCCAGACAAACAAATGGGATTGCAGTGATACCGTTTTGGCCAAATTGAATTCTCAACAATGTAAATCTCTGGTGTCCGCCTCGCTGCTTCATTTACATCGCTCCGTTGTTCCCAGACACTGGCTCTGCTCTGGATAATGTGCTTTTAATAGAGGCGCTGGATTCTGGCATTCTTACATTGTTTGGTTTGCTTCTTTCAAATGGAGACGCCCATTAGCTCGTGGCTGCCCAACATAAATATCCTCATGTGATTAAAATAAGAGATTGCCATTATCAAAAGTCTTGATAATATGGATTTCTTTATATTCATTTAAGTGTTCATTGGACGCCTCTTTTGGTCGTTTGAATTGTTTCTGTATTGGGCTGAAGTCGAATTGATAGAAATGCAATTGAGTGGAAAGTCTGGGCCTCTCTGTTTGGACTCAATTTATTTTGATATGGCCCTAAATCACAACAGCAGTCGTTTTGGAGGACTTTACAAAATTGTCTAATTTGCCAGCAACGGATCAGAGAATTAAGTGATTCAAACATTAGAAATGCAATGATAGCAAAGAGCCATTGGTCCATAGGGAGCGGATGACCAATGTCCATAAATGTTAATAACAATAATAATAATGTGCTTAAGGCCAGTGTGGGCGGGTCCCGGCTCAAAGGTGGCCAAAATGACATGCTGCAGTACCACCCCGGGCCTGTGGGGGTGGACCCTGACATGCTGCAATACCACCCCAGGCCTGTGGGGGTGGACCCGGAATAAGAATTAGCCAACGCTAACATATAGCATTAGCAAACCTCTGGAAAACGTCTTTACAGGATGGACCAAAAGTTTGCTCTTGGCCCAAAGCTCCGTTCCACATGTGTGTCAATGCTGAGTGTTCTGGACCAGTCCAGTTTAGTCGCTGTGGACTTTAGAAGTCTCTCGTTCAATGAATGGGGCTCCTGCAGCTGACTCATGCACAGATGCATTTTTTCACAGTTTCCAGCCCCCGCGGCCATTTTGAAACTGCCGATAGACCGCGGACGTTGTGGCACAGTAGTTATAACGGCGGAGACAGGCGAGACTACTGTACGTTAATATTTACAGTCTGTGGTTAGAACCCAGTGGGAAAAAGTGAGAAGTATCGGGGAGTCCCACATTGAGAGAAGGATCCGCTCCCACAGACATGAAGCAGAATATTTAATGATAGCTAGTTCAATTAATAGCACCTGCTGGTTATCGGTTATTGATATAATCGTCAAACAAATTAGTAATTAATAAGTGTCTGAGCTGAATCCTCACTGACCGTGGTATTTAACTAGACAATGTTTAATATACTGTATTTCCCCACAATCAAATCAAATTCCAACATTCATGAATTCAACACATACTTGTATTTTTAACTAGCTCATTCCTTCTTCCCAGTTTTCCCGGTGACATTCCCAGCTGCTGCACTCTTGGCAGAACGATCCCAGCCTGATTGAGCCATCCGAGCTTGTTGAACCTGAGATTAGTGCAATGGCTGCTCCTAATATGGGCCTGCTGTTTCCATGGCGACGCAGCCATCCCCGTCCCATAGATCAGACTCATAAAGATGTCAATAGTGATTCCGTCGTCGTGTTCATTAACTGTTATGGCTTCTGCGTATCGCCTTTTTACTCCGCCATCATTTTAGCTTAATTAGAAAATCTTTGTAATCCTGCCCTTTAAAAGCAGTTTGGTCGGACTGTTATGGTGTTATTGATCGGTGATTATTTAAGGGAGTGATTATGGACTGGGTAATCTGCAAAAAGCAAGAGAAAGAATTGTATTTTCATTTATTATTAGTATTAGTATTGACGCAGCGGGAGCCTGATAATTTAGCCAAACACAAAGCCTTTGACGGATTGTCTATTTTCACGTCTGTTCATTTCAGAAGAAGTTAAGCTAGCTCTAGTTTAGGCATTTGGCACCATTGATGAAGCCTGAAAATACTTTAATGTTATTAGCCACAGCAGCAACATTCTAGCATTAGCCACATTCTAGCATTAGCCACATTCTAGCATTAGCCACAGCAGCAACATTCTAGCATTAGCCACATTCTAGCATTAGCCACATTCTAGCATTAGCCACAGCAGCAACATTCTAGCATTAGCCACATTCTAGCATTAGCCACATTCTAGCATTAGCCACAGCAGCAACATTCTAGCATTAGCCACAACAGCTTGACAATGTTTAAAACCAGGTTAAAAACAGTGCTATTTAGCTGCATACATCTGAGGGATTTTATATTTTTATCTTTCTTTTTAATGTTCTGTGATTATTTATGATTTCTTATTCTGTTCATCACTTTGAGTTGCCTTGTGTATAAATTGTGCTATACAAATAAACCTGGCTTGCCTTGCCAAACATTCTAGCATTAGCCACATTCTAGCATTAGCCACAGCAGCTAACATTCTAGCATTGGCTATGACAGCTAGCATTCTAGCATTAGCCACATTCTAGCATTAGCCACAGCAGCTAACATTCTAGCATTGGCTATGACAGCTAGCATTCTAGCATTAGCCACATTCTAGCATTAGCAACAGCAGCTAACATTCTAGCATCAGCCACAGCAGCTAACATTATAGCATTAGCCACAGCAGCTAACATTCTAGCCGTAGCCACAACAGCTAACATTCTAGGCTTAGCCACAACAGCTAACATTCTAGAATTGGCTATGACAGCTAGCATTCTAGCATTAGCCACATTATAGCATTAGCCACAGCAGCTAACATTCTAGCATCAGCCACGACAGCTAACATTTTAGCCTTAGCCACAAAAGCTAACATTTTAGCCTTAGCCACAAAAGCTAACATTCTAGCTTTAGCCACTGTTCTAATCTGCTCTTGCTGGAAAAACACAAACCAACACAAACCTCCCACCCCCGCCCCTTCTGTCGAAAGGCTGTGTTTTCAAACTTGATACGTTATGATGAAGATATTGAGATCATGAACAGAGCTTTTTTCTGCCTTTTTAAAACTAAAATGTTGTCTTCAAAATGAAACTAATGAGAGTTTTCAGTTTCTCGCCTTAATTTCCCCTGGTGTTTTATTTGGTTTCTTTAGTTTTCATGGTTACACACTTTCCCTGGAACAGCTAAACTAAAGTGTGTGGCCTCATATTGAGTTGTCCAAACACCAATATATATTTGTCCTTTTGCTTTTTCAGAAGCTGCCAAAAGCTGTCAGCCACAAACAATGGATTTGTCCAGTTTTCTGTCAGATTATGTTTGTTGTGAGTAAATCCGTGTGAACCAAACTCATATTTACTCTTTTTGATCCTTGCAGTTATCCGTACAGTGAAGACAGCCGCCAGGGCAAGCAGTACATGACCACCAGATGCCCCGCCTGGTGCGACCGGGTCCTCATGTCTCCCTCTGCACGAGACCTGGTTTTTAAGGTAATTTATATTTATTTCTATTTACAATTAACCGCGCTCAAACTAGGCCTGTCTAAGAATATTATACATTAATATAATATGAAGTAATAATAAAATAATAATAATAATTGGAGGAGAGAACTGCTTCTGTACACCTGATTATTGCCTCATTACCTCACGTCTTCCTCTGCTCCTCTGTGTGAGCGTGTGTGTCTGTGTGTGTGTGTGTGTGTCAGTGTGTGTGTGCCGTCTGTCAGTGCGCAGATGGAGCGTTGGAATATTTGTTTGCAGAGTTAAATCTTTAGTCCATTTGAACAGTTTATAGGCGGGCCCTCACTGTGTTATAGTGGGGCCAATTTCATCATGAACTCATGGACTGCTGCCGTTTTTGATGATTTCACTGACTTTCAAGACCCATAGAATATTGTGTGCTGTGACTATGAGAAATATAAAACCAGATTCTGAAAGATTGGATCGTCTACTTTCATCAGAAAAAATAAGTTTGTTTCTAGCTAGTTTTATTGTTCTGTAATCTCCTGTCGAAGAGAGGAAGGGTTGACAGAAATCACCGGTATCAGATAAATACCACACACACACACACACACACACGCACTTACACACACACACACACATCACACTCTCTCACACTCACACGCACACAATAATTAATAAATAGAATTATTATATGCATTGTAAAAACAATAAAAACTTTATAAAAACAATAAAATATGTCCAATCTACAGACGAGTAATCTACATAGAACCATAAATCCTTCGGCAGATTGACAAACCACTGGGCCACTTTGACAGCCTGGTCCCGGTTCTGGTCATGGTGACAGCCTGGTCCCGGTTCTGGTCTTGGTCACAGCCTGGTCTCAATTCTGGTCATGGTGACAGCCTGGTCCCGGTTCTAGTCGTGGTCACAGCCTGGTCCCGGTTCTGGTCATGGTGACAGCCTGGTCCCGGTTCTAGTCGTGGTGACAGCCTGGTCCCATTTCTGGTCATGGTGAAAGCCTGGTCCCGGTTCTGGTCGTGGTCACAGCCTGGTCTCAATTCTGGTCATGGTGACAGCCTGGTCCCGGTTCTGGTCGTGGTCACAGCCTGGTCCCAGTTCTAGTCGTGGTGACAGCCTGGTCCCAGTTCTGGTCGTGGTCAGAGCTTGGTCCCAGTTCTGGTCGTGGTCACAGCCTGGTCTCAATTCTGGTCATGGTGACAGCCTGGTCCCGGTTCTGGTCGTGGTCACAGCCTGGTCCCAGTTCTAGTCGTGGTGACAGCCTGGTCCCATTTCTGGTCGTGGTCACAGCCTGGTCCCAGTTCTGGTTGTGGTGACAGCCTGGTCCCGGTTCTGGTCGTGGTGACAGCCTGGTCCCGGTTCTGGTCGTGGTGACAGCCTGGTCCCTGTTCTGGTTGTGGTGGCAGCCTGGTACCGGTTCTGGTCGTGGTGACAGCCTGGTCCCGGTTCTGGTCGTGGTCACAGCCTGGTCTCGGTTCTGGTCGTGGTGGCAGCCTGGTACCGGTTCTGGTCGTGGTGACAGCCTGGTCCCGGTTCTGGTCGTGGTCACAGCTTGGTCTCGGTTCTGGTTGTAGTGACAGCCTGGTCCCTGTTCTGGTCGTGGTGACAGCCTGGTCCCGGTTCTGGTTGTGGTGACAGCCTGGTCCCTGTTCTGGTCGTGGTGACAGCCTGATCCCGGTTCTGGTCGTGGTGACAGCCTGGTCCCAGTTCTGGTCGTGGTGACAGCCTGGTCCCATTTCTGGTTGTGGTCACAGCCTGGTCCCAGTTCTGGTCGTGGTGACAGCCTGGTCCCAGTTCTGGTCGTGGTCACAGCCTGGTCCCGGTTCTGGTCGTGGTGACAGCTTGGTCCCAGTTCTGGTCATGGTGACAGCCTGGTCCCAGTTCTGGTCGTGGTGACAGCCTGGTTCCGGTTCTGGTCGTGGTGACAGCCTGGTCCCGGTTCTGGTCGTGGTCACAGCCTGGTCCCGGTTCTGGTTGTGGTGACAGCCTGGTCCCTGTTCTGGTCGTGGTCACAGCCTGGTCCCGGTTCTGGTCGTGGTGACAGCCTGGTCCCAGTTCTGGTCGTGGTGACAGCCTGGTCCCTGTTCTGGTCGTGGTCACAGCCTGGTCCCGGTTCTGGTCGTGGTGACAGCCTGGTTCTGGTCGTGGTGACAGCCTGGTCCCGGTTCTGGTCGTGGTGACAGCCTAGTCCCAGTTCTGGTCGTGGTGACAGCCTGGTCCCGGTTGTGGTCGTGGTGACAGCCTGGTCCCAGTTCTGGTCGTGGTCCCGGTTCTGGTTGTGGTGACAGCCTGGTCCCAGTTCTGGTCGTGGTCACAGCCTGGTCCCAGTTCTGGTCGTGGTGACAGCCTGGTCCCAGTTCTGGTCGTGGTCACAGCCTGGTCTCAATTCTGGTCATGGTGACAGCCTGGTCCCGGTTCTGGTCGTGGTCACAGCCTGGTCCCAGTTCTAGTCGTGGTGACAGCCTGGTCCCATTTCTGGTCGTGGTCACAGCCTGGTCCCAGTTCTGGTCGTGGTCAGAGCTTGGTCCCAGTTCTGGTCGTGGTCACAGCCTGGTCCCGGTTCTGGTCGTGGTAACAGCTTGGTCCCAGTTCTGGTCGTGGTGACAGCCTGGTCCCGGTTCTGGTCGCGGTGACAGCCTGGTCCCAGTTCTGGTCGTGGTGACAGCTTGGTCCCAATTCTGGTTGTGGTGACAGCCTGGTCCCGGTTCTGGTCGTGGTGACAGCCTGGTCCCGGTTCTGGTCGTGGTGACAGCCTGGTCCCTGTTCTGGTTGTGGTGGCAGCCTGGTACCGGTTCTGGTCGTGGTGACAGCCTGGTCCCGGTTCTGGTCGTGGTCACAGCCTGGTCTCGGTTCTGGTTGTAGTGACAGCCTGGTCCCTGTTCTGGTCGTGGTGACAGCCTGGTCCCGGTTCTGGTTGTGGTGACAGCCTGGTTCCTGTTCTGGTCGTGGTGACAGCCTGATCCCGGTTCTGGTCGTGGTGACAGCCTGGTCCCAGTTCTGGTCGTGGTGACAGCCTGGTCCCATTTCTGGTTGTGGTCACAGCCTGGTCCCAGTTCTGGTTGTGGTGACAGCCTGGTCCCAGTTCTGGTCGTGGTCACAGCCTGGTCCCGGTTCTGGTCGTGGTGACAGCTTGGTCCCAGTTCTGGTCATGGTGACAGCCTGGTCCCGGTTCTGGTCGTGTTGACAGCCTGGTCCCAGTTCTGGTCGTGGTGACAGCCTGGTCCCAGTTCTGGTCGTGGTGACAGCCTGGTTCCGGTTCTGGTCGTGGTGACAGCCTGGTCCCGGTTCTGGTCGTGGTCACAGCCTGGTCCCGGTTCTGGTCGTGGTGACAGCCTGGTTCTGGTCGTGGTGACAGCCTGGTCCCGGTTCTGGTCGTGGTGACAGCCTAGTCCCAGTTCTGGTCGTGGTGACAGCCTGGTCCCGGTTGTGGTCGTGGTGACAGCCTGGTCCCAGTTCTGGTCGTGGTCCCGGTTCTGGTTGTGGTGACAGCCTGGTCCCAGTTCTGGTCGTGGTCACAGCCTGGTCCCAGTTCTGGTCGTGGTGACAGCCTGGTCCCAGTTCTGGTCGTGGTCACAGCCTGGTCTCAATTCTGGTCATGGTGACAGCCTGGTCCCGGTTCTGGTCGTGGTCACAGCCTGGTCCCAGTTCTAGTCGTGGTGACAGCCTGGTCCCATTTCTGGTCGTGGTCACAGCCTGGTCCCAGTTCTGGTCGTGGTCAGAGCTTGGTCCCAGTTCTGGTCGTGGTCACAGCCTGGTCCCGGTTCTGGTCGTGGTAACAGCTTGGTCCCAGTTCTGGTCGTGGTGACAGCCTGGTCCCGGTTCTGGTCGCGGTGACAGCCTGGTCCCAGTTCTGGTCGTGGTGACAGCTTGGTCCCAATTCTGGTTGTGGTGACAGCCTGGTCCCGGTTCTGGTCGTGGTGACAGCCTGGTCCCGGTTCTGGTCGTGGTGACAGCCTGGTCCCTGTTCTGGTTGTGGTGGCAGCCTGGTACCGGTTCTGGTCGTGGTGACAGCCTGGTCCCGGTTCTGGTCGTGGTCACAGCCTGGTCTCGGTTCTGGTTGTAGTGACAGCCTGGTCCCTGTTCTGGTCGTGGTGACAGCCTGGTCCCGGTTCTGGTTGTGGTGACAGCCTGGTTCCTGTTCTGGTCGTGGTGACAGCCTGATCCCGGTTCTGGTCGTGGTGACAGCCTGGTCCCAGTTCTGGTCGTGGTGACAGCCTGGTCCCATTTCTGGTTGTGGTCACACAGCCTGGTCCCAGTTCTGGTTGTGGTGACAGCCTGGTCCCAGTTCTGGTCGTGGTCACAGCCTGGTCCCGGTTCTGGTCGTGGTGACAGCTTGGTCCCAGTTCTGGTCATGGTGACAGCCTGGTCCCGGTTCTGGTCGTGTTGACAGCCTGGTCCCAGTTCTGGTCGTGGTGACAGCCTGGTCCCAGTTCTGGTCGTGGTGACAGCCTGGTTCCGGTTCTGGTCGTGGTGACAGCCTGGTCCCGGTTCTGGTCGTGGTGACAGCCTGGTCCCTGTTCTGGTCGTGGTCACAGCCTGGTCCCGGTTCTGGTCGTGGTGACAGCCTGGTTCTGGTCGTGGTGACAGCCTGGTCCCGGTTCTGGTCGTGGTGACAGCCTGGTCCCAGTTCTGATCGTGGTGACAGCCTGGTCCCGGTTGTGGTCGTGGTGACAGCCTGGTCCCAGTTCTGGTCGTGGTCCCGGTTCTGGTTGTGGTGACAGCCTGGTCCCAGTTCTGGTCGTGGTCACAGCCTGGTCCCAGTTCTGGTCGTGGTGACAGCCTGGTCCCAGTTCTGGTCGTGGTGACAGCCTGGTCCCAGTTCTGGTCGTGGTGACAACCTGGTCCCGGTTCTGGTCGTGGTGACAGCCTGGTCCCGGTTCTGGTTGTGGTCACAGCCTGGTCCCAGTTCTGGTCGTGGTGACAGCTTGGTCCCAGTTCGGGTCGTGGTCACAGCCTGGTCCCGGTTCTGGTCGCGGTCACAGCCTGGTCCCGGTTCTGGTTGTGGTGAC